CTTACATTTAGGAAATTGCTTTGGTCACAAATTATCACACATTAAAGACTGAAAAGTGCAATTAAAACTTGATTTGATAGATTTGAAAATGTGGCATTGAAAAAAGAGTAACGCAGGGTTCGATCCTTCCATGGAAGCTATAAATTAAATTTAATGTTAAAACTGAATTTTGCAAAAATATGCCCAGAAGAAAAAGGTATTGTCGCGTATATTGTCATTGATACACGATAAATGTTACCAGAATATGGTAACTTTTATCGTGTTATAAAATATAGTTTTATAATGCTAGATAAAATCTGGTAAGTGTGGTAAAATTTGGTAAATTATGATTAGTATAAAACATGACATAAAACCATTTAAATTGCTTAAATTTACTTTTCAGTTTAATAATTTTTACTAAATATAAATTAATAAGAATCGTAATAATGAATACCAGAAGTTCCGTAAACCGTTGCTAGTAGAGAGGTAAAATTACCATATGAATGGTGTTTTTCATATTAAAATTATCCTTACCATACAGAATGATAATTTTATCAGAATTGTTTTCTCCATGTTGAATAAAACATTTTCGATAGTAAATTAAATTTTTAAGCGTTAAGATTTCAAAATGAAATGTGTATATCTCCTTCCTTATGTAAAATAATAGACTTGAAATAAAAATAGTTGTTGTTCAGCTCTACTGTGTTTAGCTTAACAACTAAATTGAGAAATGGAAAATTACTTATACGTAAGCTGTTCTATTATACGAATTTTCTCATTTTCAGTGCTTTTGAATTCATTCCTTGAGAACTAAAATATTTATATTACTTCAGTCTGCATCGATTTCTATGGAATTCCCAATCTTCGTCACAACATCGTGAATTTTCTATTGTGAAGTCTTTTCTATTATTTCGCTTTTCCCCGGGATAATATTTTCGGGTGATTTTCAGATTCCACATCTATTTCGCGATATATATTAATACTTGAATAGACGTTAAAGTAAAATATTATTTTAAAGTCATGTACTTGTTTTTATAGATTTACGAGCATGATTTCGCCAAAGAACGCAAATAAATTATATCAAGACAATAAAAATCAATAAGCAATAATCAATAAATTATGACAATAAGCTTCAATAAATAATAACAGATGAATAGAAGCTAGAATTTTCTTTGATATATCTAGATTTAGATGTAAAATTCGTAAAATATTTTTTAGTTTAAAATCATTGCACTTTAATGTCGAAATCTATAAACAATAAAAACAATATTTATTATGAGCATATTTCAATGAACATAATTTGTAAATGTGTGAAGTTTAATAAATTTTGATTTTATATTCCGCGTTAATTCGGTTATTTGAAATTCCCTTCGGTGGGACTATGTTTAGTTCAAAAAACTAATTTACACTTATGAAGGGATTTAGAAAAAAATAGTAATGTAAGCATTAGTTAAGTTTGTCATACTAATTATTTTAATGTAAAGAATTATCTAGCGAATTTATCATTATATTTTTAGGTAAGGAAATGTATAAACATAGATTTGTAATTTTGTTCCTCCAAGATTTTGTAATTTTAGTACACTTTTTAAGCGATTATTTTCTTCCTGTAAAAGGCAGCTTTATAAAGTCTTTATGCAATGCATTTAATTTACTGAAATTTAGTAGAGAATTGTTTTGCTTGAACAGTGTATAGCGAAATTTCGAATTAAAATTTTGAATCACAGACTCCATAAATGTTATAAATCTTCAAATCATCTCGCAAAATATATTTTGCAAGATTCTGAACATCTCTTTATACAATACGTAAATTTTAAAAAGTGCTGCTAAATGTCTGGAAATTTATCCAAATTAAATTAATTTCTGTAATTATTTTACTAAACTAAAGTCAATTTTAACAACTGAAGAATAACAACTACTATTTTTATCCGTTAATACAATGGATAAATGCAAATAAGTTGTAATAAATACTTGAAAAATATTACGAAATTTACCTAAACTGAAATAATTGATGATTGTTATAACTACTTTTAATAACATAACTAATCCTGGATATTCCGAAACTGTTATTGTAACGAAAAAATATAGTGTATATAAGGAGCGCATATACTCTATATAATGATTTTATTGAGCGTGTTTCAATTATCCAACAATATTTGATCAAAGATTCTTTGATCAAAATCGAAGAACTTATCGTATTAATAATAAAAATTAATTTTATTTTTGCAATAAATCTTATTTACAAAAATTATTTATTACTGTTTTTATTATAGTTTTTAATTTAAAAAAAATGTTAATGTAATAGGCATACATTAATTTTTTATTGAATATTGTGTCAATGCTTTGGAATAACGTCAGATTAATACTACGAATTTTCTTAAGTAGAATATTTATTATAAATATATTTTAAAATACTAAGTATAGTTTGAACAGCTCTGGAAAAATAATTATTGTTTTATAATACAATTAGGTTATTTTTAATCTGATAAGTAAAATTTCTAAATAAGCTTGACAGTTATATTTTATTAAAAGTCGAAAATTAAATTTTTTCTTTTTCTAAAATTTTACGATAGTAAGCAACAAATACTCTTTTTCAATGTTACACTCTGATTAATTATTTAGTAACTGGCATAAACTATGTAAAGTTATTTTTTTCTCATAAAACTTACAGGTCAACAAATTAATTGATTGACTATAAACTGGAATTATTAACTTATTGTTATTTGTCAGATTCCAGAATGAAAATTGTTATTTTTTTGTAATACTGGAAGATAACTTTAAAGTAAATTGTAAAATTAAGTTTAATTGACACTTTATTAACATTATAAATGTTACTTTTTCCCTAAACCTTACTATAATAAGTTTCTGAGCAACACATTCACTATTCATTTGCTATGCATGACGAGAATTCTCCATGTATATTCTCCTCGTATAATGATATAGTTCGAGTGTAATCCACATAAGTCATGTAGAGTAATTTTTTTCTCATAACACTTAAAGTTATTTAATGAACTCTGGAATGATATATAGTATCAATATAATTAAAAAAAATCATATAAATGCATATATTTGATTTTCATTGAGAGTTTCATCAATGGTTTCGGTTTCTACAAATGTTTAATCAATATTGCCTAATGTACCCTGCTGGAATAACATTCAAATATTTCTATCTAACAATATTTGTAACAATTATTTATTTTGATATTGATTATTATTTACAATACTCTGGGATATATGTCTTAGTTTAACTACAGAATCTAAAACACTTTTAATTTTTAAACAAAAGATACTACAGAACTTTGTAAAAGACATTACAGAACTTTACTGTTTCGTCAAGGATTATTGTAATTTCCGCAAATATACAGTTTTCATGACAATCGATGGGTTTTGTCGATGTTTTGGGGCAATGATTCATAAATTTCCCGAAATTCACCAAAACTAAAATATTTTTTTAGAAACTAATGTTGTATTTTAAAAGCTCTGGAAAAATATGTTTTACTTTATAATCCTAAAAAATTATTTTTTATATAAAAATCAAAATGCCTGGAAGGCTTTATTTTCATTAGCATTCGAAGCACTATTTCTGGCTTTTTTCCAAAACTTAATTATGGAGAATTTAAAAAAAAGCAACAAAACACTCTTTTTCTCACGTAATACCATAAGATAGAAATTAGCAGCCAATTAAATTAGTACAGATTTTTCTTTTAACTCGTAAAGTTCGCAGAATCCAAGTCTAATGCAGATTTGTTGATTTTATAAATAAAAAGTACTCTTAAATATTTCATAACTTCGATAGTTTATATTACCATTTTATAGCGCTTTGAGCCATAATATTGTTTCAAATTCACTGCAACCTTAACCCCTTGACATACGAAGACGTCTGGGAGGCGTAATTTGTTTCTTATGTCAAAACAACAATTGACGTGCCTCAGACGTCTTCAACACGGAGATGCCAACATACTCCAGACAGCAAATAAATATTTTAAAGTGATAGTTTATCAGTTGTGATTCTTGGTTCAATTTATTCAATTTAGTAGATTTTTATTCACCACCATTTATAAATAATTCGTAGGCTTATATAATTCACCACTTTATAGTAGTCATGCCATGCTATACCTTTTAAAAAGCAAGCAAAAATATTCAAATATTTGCAAAATTTAGTTTATAGTTATTTACCTTTTTTTTTAATTATTCTGGCGTGTCCGGACAGTTGGCATCTCCGTCAACATTCCGTTGCGAGTTGTGGTTTACAGTGCAATCAAAGATCATTTCTTTAACAAGAAATGATATGTCAAGGGGTTAATTTAGTTTAAACATATTAATATTATAACATATTCATACCATAAAGCATTGATCAGATTACGGTACAAAGTACTGGCACTCGGGGAGCCGGTACTTTTTACCTTAAAATCTATTTTTACCGCAACATTTAGCGAAACAAAAAATCTGATATACCGTACTTTTTACAGTTCATACCGTAAAACTCATGAATCACTCTCATTAAATAAATATTTCTGTAAGAATTGTGTTATAATATTTTTCGGTAAAAATGGACTTAACGGATGATGCACCCAAAGTGATAGTATTTTATACCGTAATTTGATCCGAAATTTGTTACTGTATACCATAACTTTGGATCGAATTTACACTACATCTTATTTCAAAGCCACAAAGTTTGACTCAATTTTGATGGATTTTTCTGAGAACGTAAAAGTTTTTTTTTACTTGAAACTGTTCTTGAAAATCTAACAAAACTTATGAAACTGTAAAATTTCCAACTACTGAAAGTTATTTTATAGTTTGAGTTCCCTATTACTTACTTTTAAAATTTTATTTAATGTAAAGACATCAGTTTAGAAATTCACCCAAATGCTAACTCTACAAAACCAAACATTTATGTTAATTTATGAATAAAGAGCAAACCGTATTACATTGACTATACCACCATTCTTACTTTCTAATGCAAGTGACACATTAATCAAAAATGCTTCATATCCATGATAAAACTTTCCCTTTTATTTCAGGTGTATTATTCACTGAAGATCAGAAAGAAAGCCCAACAGAGCTTGCGTTTAAATATGCTGTGTATAGTATAAACAGAGACAGGAGCATTCTACCGAACACCACCCTCATCTATGATATCCAGTACGTGCCAAAAGATGACAGCTTTCATGCTTCAAAGAAAGGTATGCATCATGGTGGTGGAAATAATGGAACCGCTGCCATATATTTTAGGTTACAGTATAGCTCATCTTAAGAGATAGTTCATTTCTTGATGTCGATTGTGGGAAAAGAAATTCAATATTCTAAATACTTTGAATTCATTTTGAGTCACATTTGGTACTACAACAAATTGATCCTCGGCTTAGACTGTAATAAAATATGAAAATAAGTAAATGTATCAAGAAAAGATTTTATATTCAAAAAATTTCTACCGGTTAAGAAAAATGCTGAAATAAGTGCTTTTGGTTACCTTTTAACTTATTAATGTATTTTTTAAAATTTAATCTTAGTTTTTTTTAAAAATTTATTTGTTTATAAACAATGTAGAAAGTAGCTGTTTTCGGATATTAAATGAAATAAAATCATATGAATGAAATAGCGGGCGAATTTAATGATTATTCGTAAAAAAACCTTTTTTTTTTTTTACCCCACATATTTGAGTTCATTTTTATGATATTTAATTTTAGTTCTATAATGTTAATCAAATAAAACCAAATGTAAGTCACAAAATATATAACAATATCATATTTTTCACTTATCTATGTTATATTTAAGTCCAAAAATCGTTATGTTTTTGGATGGAACATTACATTATAATTTACAGTAAAAACTTGTAAATTATATTTTATTGCTTGTTAAACTGTCTACTTCGCGTGATAAGGGGTATTCATCTGATTATAAAATGTGATTTAATAACATTAAACGAGCAAACCCCATTTATACACTTAAAGATGTGTATTTTAGCGTGATGTTTATCAAAATATTTAACGTTTCGTAATTATATGAAAAAATGTTATGATGATAAAAATGTAGAAACATGTACTATTAGAATTAGAAAAATATAAAATAATGTCGCTGAGCAATTGATGTAGAAAACAATGTTAATGTGTGGCTCTTACTAATATTGTTGTGAAGATGATTGCAGCACATGGTGCGTAGCATAATTCGCTAATGATTTATATGATTTATTAGATTCTAAGTTTTTAAAAGAGGTATAATGTGAATATTTTGGACTGATTTAAAATGTAACCATGGGAACAAACTCTAGAATTAAAAAAATAGTCCCAGATGGCTTTCTCCAAGGAAAATATTGCTGAAGAAACTTTATTGAAGACGTTTTACTGTATTTCAATACCTAACACTGGGATGAACTAACTTTCTGTTTTGCCACTTGAATATTGTTAACTAATATTGCCAGTTGCTAATTGTTATAAAAAAAATTAAAAAGGCTTAAGGCCAACAACCGATAATTTTTCTATAGAAATAGTTGGCATTAAAAAAGTCATGAGTTTGATATTTTTTTCCATTTTAATATGCAATGTTTAATAAGTTGATGTTGCATGAATCTAAACTATATAAATTAAAGCAGTGCATTATTATAACGTATGACATAACAATAGGACAATATAACTTTTAAGATTGTCGCCATTAGGGTGTCAAGATATGATTGTCAATGAACTTAATCATAAATATCTTAAATATTCGTAAAAGTTACAACATATTTCCCAATTCTGCATTTGAATATACAAACTTAAATAAATAGTTATTACATAGTTATTGCAAAGCTACTACAAACTATTAAAACAGCATTATTTATTTATCGTTAACAATTGCGTAGTTTAATATATACCATATGAGTTTACGTTCACATTAGTAAATGAATGATACCCTTATTTTGAATGCATATCGCTCTCTTCTAGTGATTTACAATTTAGAAAGTAAACTTTCTAGCTCTGCTGACGATTTGATTACTTTACGAATCTGTATGAATTGACAAGTAGTTGCTCGAATTTTACTCTGATTAGAGTAACTCCCTTAATTTAGAACTGGTATGCTCCAGTGATATTAAATTTAGCTATGCGTGTATTGGATAGACGATAGTGTCTTACTGTAGCATTTAATAACGAAAATGTTCAATAATGTAAGATAAGTTTTCTAGTTACCATTTTGAAAAATAAATGCTTTTTTCCCTGCATAGTTCAGTTTGCGATTAAAGTAATTATTTTTCTTTAAAAATAAAAATAAAAGTACAAATAACGAGAATCAATTTATTACTAAAAATAATAAATAATACGTTTGTTTAATGCATGTGTGAGATAATTTAAAACATTTGATAAACATTTTTGTGTAATTTTATGATGGAGTTTTTATTTCACAAACTAAGTCATTAAAATCGATTCGTTTCGGGGTATACGCCTATCAACGTTTAACTCAGTAGCCTTGAAATTTGGAAACTGACGCAGAAGACAACAGAACGCCTAGATCTAGCCTGTATTAGGACAAACTTAAATTCATGGAGCACTTTTTGATAACAGAACTAAACGGTACTTGCGTTAGATGGAGTGGGAAACCACGAACATCTCTCACAATAAGACTGGAGATCTGGTTATCGGTCGACCATTGAGAATTACTGTATACTACTGGAAATATTTTAAGAAAGCACTGCGGATGGTGAAAACCGGAAGAATATTTTAAAAGCGCTCACTCATAGTTTTGGTTTGAAACTTGGTCACCACATTGGGAGCTGAGTGATCTATTCTCTAAGCCATCACGCTCCATTTAACTAAATATTTGTTCAAAATAAGAGTAAAAATAATAATCGTTATACGCACGGAACTGAAATTCGTGAGAAATAACCTAATTAAACAATGCGTATTAATAATGGTTATAACTAGCACTGGGCGATACATCGATTTAACGGAAAACATCGATGTTGTGTAATCATCGCTGATCCGATGTTTAGGTTGGCGTATTTTACGAAGCATCGGAAATTCCGATGTCCGAGCGATGTGTACGATGTTTCCCGAGGCATCGATGTTCGCAAGCGTGCGCGAAGAGCATTTCCCCCGAATACGAGGCGACATCAATTGCCGTGACGATCTTTTCCCTTGTGTTTCTTCCTTCGCGAATTATCAAGTAACGATGTGCTGACGATGAATTCCGATGTGACTGGGAGTGAAACTAACTTATCACCAATGAAAGATGAAAAAGTGCTTTCTTCAATTCGTGCAAATCCAAGAAAAGAAAGTGATTCTCTGAGGATTATTTATATTTTGTTATTTGATAATACTTTGAGATCATTTTTGTCTTCTTGAAGAAAAGATTGTTTTTGATCAGTTCCGATAAGACTTTTTGTTTTTTTTATTTTTTTACCTATTTATTTTTCTTTGTTAAATCTGAAGAATTGCATTCCTTCAATATAGATAAAAATTTTTCATTAATAATTTTGTATAAAGTTGCAATTTTGCATATTGACCACGTTTTCAATTATTAAAAAATGATTATCATTACTGTTAGAAATAAAAAAAAAAATATAATATTTTTGCAAAAAATTTTGGCAAACGAGTTTTTAAACCGACGACTTATCAAACGCAAATTTTCTTTTAAAGACAGTCGTTCTGTTTTTATTTCTTTAGCATTTTCTTTTTCGACTTGATTGCTTTGCGATCTTCCTTATTGATAAAAATTTTCATAAGAGTGTGCAGTTAAATTTTGTTTTCACGAAATATAGTTTAGCAACATAATAATACATTAGGTTAGCAATAATTATGAAAATAAATTTTTAAATAATTGATTTTTACAATATTTAAGCCATAATAATTTCCACTGTATCCTTTTGCAGGAAATTTTGTTTTTATACTAGTTTTTCGCTATTTCCTCAAAAACATTGAAGGTTACTGCCTTTAATAAATTATTGAAGGATATTCTTCTGGAAATTCTGGAGAATGAGTGGCCAAGAGGTTATACGCATCGGCGTTTCTTAGTTTTTTATCTTTTTCAATCCATAATTTTTTTTTAATTCTCTTGTATCTATTTTATTTTTACAGTTGGCTGACATACTTTGCGGCAGGCTAAGACTTTTGGTCTATTGATCTGATTTTCACGTATTACGGCTTAATCTTTAGTGGTTTGAGGGAGAGACCTCAAATATGCTAATTAGTTTAAGCAGACAATATTTTAAATTACGAAGTGAGGCACAAAAGCGTACTTATCTGAATAAATTTTTTTGACGGATTATGATTCCTCACCCTCAAAATATAAGGCGTAGCCGTAATCTGAGAAATGTAGTCCTAATAATTTGGTCAGGATAGCGATCGAAAGTTAGGATCTCTTGATGTTTATGCTACTTTTTGCGTATTTCGTCATATCTCGAGAACTGTTTACGCGAATTGATAAATTTTAGCACAGAATTATAAAATTCGTTTATCCAAAGATAATTTCATGCAAAAATGATTTTAATTTATTTTTTTATTAGTAATAGTCGAAAAAGTTTGAATTGTAAGGTATATATTTTTTTTAAAGAATATGATTTTTTATTTTTAAATAAAGAAGTTAAAAGAAATTAGTTGAATAGTTTCTGAAAAATAAATTTTAAAATATCATACTTTTTGAAATCCGATTGCTAAGTCAAAAGTAATTTTTTTCATGCACTATACTCTATTCATAAATATCAAATATTATTTGCTAAAATATTCATGTAAAGATAAATTTATTACAATATAAAAGCTGAAAAAAATTCACCAATGCTTTCTAATTTTATTTTCTAGAAAAATTATTTCTTAATGCAATAATTTTTTAATGTGTTTTTGTTTAAAATACCTAACCATCTTTAAGAAGGTTGAAAATTTACAATAATTTTTGTTGGCCAAAGTTGAAATACTATTCTTTTTTTTTTACCCTTTTTAACTCATCCTTAAAGATAATTTACTCATTTTTTTCAAAGCTGCATGTAAAATTTTAATGAATTATTCGTTTCACTAGTTAACTATTTATTCAATACCCTCTTTCTTTAATTTAAAAACTTCCGATTTTTTTCAGCAAAATCTGAAGGTTGAAAAGATGTGTTTTGTTTAAATTGAAAAAGACAGTCTATTGAATTATTTTAATCCAAAAGAAGAAAATAATCAATTTACTAAACATTGATATACCAGGATATAAAGTCATACATTTAATTTACTCCTATCTTAACTTTTTTCCCTATTGATTATATTTTAATATATTATTGAAATTAAATACAACATTCAATTATAAATCACTTAGTTGTTTATATACACCTATAAAATGAATATAATTCGTATAATGTTAGTTTGATGCATTTTGACAGATTTTCACTCTTGATAAATTTTGTCTGAATGCAAATTTGAATAGTAACGTGATCGCCACTCAAACATAGCGATGAATCGTAACATCGCGATGTTTGAGTGGCGATGCATCACGATATTGAAATCTTTACATCGCCCAATCCTAGTTATAACCAAAGCAACTATTTCACCAAGAAAATTGCTAAATTGATCGTTTTATTTTCCTTAATCGAAATTCCATTCATTGATTTTCAATATCATTAAAAAAATCACTTTCTCATCAACCAATTGTTAATTAGAATCCCTTGTCAACACTATGAGGGTGGTTAAGTGGCGAACATTGCCTTACTTCCCTGACAAGCTTGTACTCACCGGTTTTGAAATTCACTTTTCAAGCCAGAACTGGGAATAAATCCTAAATCCTATACACAGTAGGGATTTCTTTAAAATTACTTATTTAAAACGGTTACATTCAGAATGATTCTAATTTTGTTTTATGTACCCTGAAGTAGAATCAGGATTACAATTACTGGCGCTTTTAATTATAAATATATTTTGATATTTATAGGGTTTAAATACTTTTGACGTAAGATATAATGTGAGGGAAAAAAATGGTCGAAACTACCAGAATATTGTAAAATGTACCATTTTTTGACTCTGTATGGGCACTCTAAAAACTCGGAAATGCGCTTTGGTAACATTTTGTACCTAGAACATAAGAAAATATGATGCATTTGTTTTTTTCTGCTCACCCTGCCACCAAAAAGTTCAGGATCTTTTTTTACGATATTTATGGAGGCCTTAATGGCGTATATTAATTTAAAAGCTTATTAATATTAATGTTCATTAGTTTGAATACATTTAATATTAAAAAAATATTAATTTTAATCTATATTTAGATTTTAATCAGAATTTTTTTACCTAGAACAAAACATACGGAGTAAAAAATCAATACGTCTATTTGGACACTTAGATTTTTCATGATGTAGTAACAGATGGCTTTTTTTCTGTCTAGCCTGCCTCCAAGTGAGTTCTGGAGTAAGTGCAATCTTCGGTCCCCAAGACGCTCTTCTGGGAAGTCACGTTCAGTCCCTGTGCGATGCCCTGGACATTCCTCACATAGAATCACGTGTCGATATGGAACCCGAGATGAAGGAATTCTCCATCAATCTTCATCCTAGCCCGAGGATAGTTGGTTTGGCCATCCGAGATCTCATTCATTACTTGAATTGGACAAAAGTGGCCATTGTATACGAAGAGGATATGTGTAAGTGTAACAACTGTCCACTTGAGAAATATATCGACAATAGTTTAGTGTGCTATTTGTCATTCTGTTTTGTCCAACCGCATCCGAAGAATAATGTCCCAAGGAAAGATCTGTGACAAACTCGACGTGGGAGAGTATTTGATTTTGGTCGTATTTAAGGTTTTCGTATAAACCTCAATTATGTCTATGTTAGTCATTTAGTTTTTTGTCGGGTTGTTTTGCATGCAGGGAATTACACAAAAACCTCTCTTAATAAGTATTTTTAAAATCCACATCGAAAAGGAACTACTAAATGCATACACATTAAGGGCCATAAAATCATGTATAAGAAAAGAAAGACGAAAATTTTATCTTTATCTATTGAACCAATAAAGATGCACAGGATTTAAAAGAAAAATCCAGCTTTATTACTCGTTGAAACACATGCGTATTTTTAATACCTTTTATATTAATTTTTGCTCTTTTCGGAAATTAAACTGATTTTAATATTTTCATTCTCGCTTTTCTTTGTGCTGATTTATTTAACTTCGAAAGTCTTTTCTTGCTTTTTTCACTTTTAATAATTAATTTGCGACATTCTTTTTAGCAATTTTTTCAACAAAATTTTTATAGCATATATTAAAGGAGGTTCTTTCAGAAGATCTGGTATTTAAATCCATCTTACAAATCTGCATTTTAATATCTTTTGGAAAAAAAGTTATTTTTCTTTAAACTACTTTATTAAAATCAAGCATAGACTTCCAGAAATAAAACTTTAACTTCATTGAGTTGTATTTTGATAATTTGGAGATTCATTTCTTCTTGAAATCACGCGATTTGTGATGAAACGTTAATTCCCAAATAAAATACTAAAATGAGCCACATCGCAGTGGATTGTGGGAAATTGTTAACCAGAATGACGAAACTGGAAGGAAGACCGGACGATCGAAGCAAGTCGGTCTGTACACTTTTGGAAATAAAACTGTAAATGAGTTATGGGTCAAGGAGTCAAGGGTAAAAGAGTTACACCAAGTATATTAGGAAGATCTCCGGCTCGAATCCCGTTTCGGATATGTGTGTAACTTATCTCTCTGTTCTATCTATCCTTAGTTTTATCTGGGAGACAGTAATCCACCTATACATAGCCCACTGTAGGAGTATACAGGAAGTGTACATTAGGGGCTAGAAGTTTTTTTTTTCTTTTTTGAAAAAAAATAGAATGACGAAATGTTCTTTAATTTTGAGGAAATTCATTTCCAATTTCCTCAAAGAAGAGTCGATAGTTATTTTATCACTTTGAAATGATTTCTCGAAGCATATGCCAGAAAATGGCTTCGTCAGAAACCATTTTCTGTACACTTCTGCACACTCTACTCTGAACTTTAAGTAGAATTTTAAGTGCAATTTTGTGAATTTTGCGTAAGAGCCGTCAAGTTTAAGCGGTTTATGTAAAGAAGTAGATTAAATGAATACGCCAAGGCAACTGAATGAAAGGTAACTAAGACAGAGTTTCAAAATTTAAAACATAACTACGTTTTCACATGAAATTAAAAAAGAGAAAGTACTCAAATCGAGTTTCAGCAACAAAAAAAAAGAAGAAAAAAACTAATACACCATGATTAATTCTCTCTCTACTCTTATTGCATTTCTCCTTATTTACCTTGTACTAGTATTTAAAAATAACAATTTCTCCTGTTTACTAAATTTTTTGATAGTTTTATTAATTAATTTGCTACACAAATACTTATTTCTGAAGAAAGTATAATGAAAGGATATTTTTCACTAATAAGTATTTTCTTCTTCATTTTAGTAAAACAATAAGTGAAAAGTAAATAAGGAAATGAGTATCACAGAAAATGTTAATTTGACACAAATTATAATTGCAAACGTTGAGCACAGTAAAACTCAGCAAATCCCTTAATTAACTCATTGAACAAATGTCTAAAGTAATGTAATCGGCGAATCGTATTGAAGCGCGGAACACTTAATGAAATTCGTTTACAGGATAAACACAAGACAACTTCATTTGTGTAATTGCTATTGAGAAAGATTTGGTAATTTCTTTCGTAAATAATACATTACCAGTTAGAAAATTGGGAGATAATCGCATTTGTTCTTAAATTAAATTGATAAATTTAAAAATATATATAAAAGGTAAATGCATCTTTAAATCCTGTTATATTTTATTTTCGACTTTATTTGTTATGTGAAATATCAGCAACCGTTATAAGGTTTGTGAAATACTTAGATTTATTTATTTTTTAATATATTAACCTAGTATCCCATACAGAAAATTTCAACTGTGTACTCAAATATTTATAAAAAAGAAAACAAAAATAATAATTCTTGTTCAGTTCCAATTTGCTCTATAAAAAATTGCGGATTAAATTACGGTATGAAGTACCCGAACTTTAAGTGCATCATCCTTAAAATACATTCTTACAACAAAATTCTTTTTTAACGTGAAATATCACATCATAATTTTTTACAGAAACGTTTATTTAATTAGAGTAATTCGTAGATTTTACTGTAATTATTACTGTTAAAATTACCATATTTTTTGCTACGTAAAAAAAATTATCATATTTTTTTTGCGTAGCTTGTTCCAATAAAAATAGATTTTACGGTACCGTAATTTTATCCAAAACTATTGACAGAGTATTTGGAACTTAAAGCAACAAGTAAAGTCTTTCAATACTTATTTTTGTTTACATTTACTATATACTTAAGTAGTTTGATGTAATAAACACATAATTAATGTAAATAAGTCAATTATTACGACACACAAATTTATTAAATTTATTAAATTTTCACTATCTGCAACCATATAAAAATTTCAATGCATATCTTAATTTACATTTACTATGGTTAATCAGATTGATGTAATGAACACATAACTAATATTAATAAATTAATTATCATACAACACAAATTTCTTACATTTATAAAATTTCCACTAACTGCAACTATATGAAGATTTTAGTACTTATTTTAATTTACATTTACTACGGTTAATCAGATTGATGTAATGAACACATAATCGATATAAATAAGTTAATTATTATACAGCACAAATTTATCAAGTTTCTACTAACATTTACTATATGAAGCAATCTAAGTTATTATAATTTAATGATTATTTTACCCATTTCAAAACCTCTATTCAATGAACTTTAAATGCATAAAACTTAATGAAATCTCACTGTCGTACCATATCTACACAAAAATTGCCTACTTACAGCAACAAAAAAATTATGAAACATTGAAATTTTTTAACTTTTTTTTTTAAAAAAGCATCGACGTCATTTAGACGTCAAAGCAAAATTAAAATTTAGTATATATGTACTCTCAAAAATAACACTATCACTCTTGACGATTCAGCAATCCTTGAGTTGTATTTTGTTAATTTTTATAATTATTTCTTCACATCAAGGGATTTGGGACGAAACGCGAACTCTCAAATATATGACGACAATGTTTCCTCAACTTGGAACCTCATCATAGTGCACTGAGGGAGAGAGTTAACTAAAATGATCAAACTGAAATAAGGATTAGACGATGGAAGCTATAATGATGAAGTATTTTCTTATTTTTGACGAAATATGTTTCCTCGAATAAGTGATGCTAATTATTTCGCCACTTTAACAAAATGTTAGCTCGGAACATAAGCGTCGTGAATTTTGAGTATCCATTTTTTACAGTGTGTTACTTAATAAAATTTATTAATCTCTGTTATGTTTTATTGATGAAGTGTAATAACAATGAAGTGTTATTAAAGAAGTGTTATAAAATAATCTTCTTAATGATAACTTCTTAAAATATTATTACTTATCATTTAGAGAAATGCCCATAAAACATTAAAATGTTACTTATTTTTGACAAAATTCTTTATTATTTGTTGCTATTTTGGTGTTTTTTCAATTAAAGGAAAATCACAAGAAATTTATTCTTATTTAATTTCAGCTCTGATAAGCCTACAAGAACTCATACGTCCTCCTGTACCTAGGGATTTGCAATTGATTTTTCGGAAAGCTAGTGTACATACATTTAGAGATACCTTAAAAGATATTAGAAGAAGAGGAATATTTAGCTTGGTAATAGACACTCGTCCGCAAAACTTGCCTCATCTACTGCAAGCAGTAAGTTTCAGTCATTAGCTATTCTTCTACATGCGTTTGTCAGACAATACATTTTTATCCACTCTTTGTTTTATTTATTTTTTTTCAAAAAAATCGATAAATAATTTATTGACGATATGCTTTTAATGGCCTTTTTAATCAAAGAGAATAAATACCATTGTGCATAATTAAGGTTTAAAGGAAACTATTTTGCAATTGCATAGATCTACTTTTATTTCCTCCTCTTTTTTACTACTATTTTCAATACTTCGTAAATATATCCTTGAGACATTCAAACTTTAACCCTACATTTATGATGTTCATCAAAACCTTTTCGTAATTAAATGTCTAGATCCACAGATTCATAATCTGCATACTACAAATGATGGGAAATCCTGTGAAATTTTCGAAATTAAAGTCAGGGGATTCTTCTTATGCCGAATAAAATGTTGTCCAAACCAGAAAACATTTCAGATTTTTCCAAAGATAGGAAAAATTGCTAAACAAATGACTATTTACCATATTATTATAAGAACATATAAAGTCAGTACATGATAAAGGTATATCTATGTAATAGAGGGGAAAGACCAGGTAGTTAAGATTCGAAGGCTTGCTGGATCTAAAATGTTCGATCCAGAAACTGTCTGATTTAATAAAAAATATTCATTGCTTAGTTGTGTATCATTCCTAAAAGTCATAGATGTAATACTTTTTGTAACAAATATTATTTTTCCTAGAAAAAGCCAAATCACCTAGTCTTACCCCACTAGTTCAATATTAACGAGTACATATGTTGACTTTATGGAAAATTTCGAAATACTATTTCAGTGAAAAAGTAGCAAAAATTTCTATTTTATAAATAAATTTAAGAAAATTATGTGTATAGTTTGTACGTGATGTAGTCAAGGCTGTACTCTAGGGAGGAGAGGAACAATTGACCTAGAGCCCAGGATGGCTGAGAATCCGACAAAAATATAGTGTTTATAAATTAGATTTTTTTTAATAAAATTGTCGAGCGTTTCTTTATATCCTTATAAAAGCTACAATTTCGTTTAAATAGTCTTCAGAAATTCTACAAAAAAAGAAAGTAATGTCTAATGTGCTTTGAGAAATGGGTTCTGAATAAATTTTGTAAAGGCTTCATCTTTTTTTTATCCGTTGATCTACCTTGGATGTAGTTATCTTCTTCCTTCGCTGCACTGCAGTTATCGTGAGACCAGCATAGCCACACGTTAAGAAGAAGGTGGCAAGGCTGGATAGCTATCAGTCTTACCCCAAGAACGGAGGTTATTGAAATGAAACAGTACAGTGCTATTATTGGATCAAATCATTATTTTTTTAAGGATATGAATCTTTAGTACACGTATAATAAGCTGGAATAAAAAAAAATTTTTTTAACTGTAATGACCAATAAATAAGGCAAGTTTAAAAACAAGCAAAAAACATTTGAAGGTTAACTTAGTAAAACAAACTTAACAACACGAGCACCGTAAATGAATTCACAACATGCCAATATGATAGGTCCTTCTACTTGAAAAGTGTAATTCAGTGTTTGAGCGCGAAAACATGAAATTGATTTCGACGCAATCGGGGTACCCGGTCTCTCTCCACTACTCAGTCTTACCCCACTCTCCCTTATGCCTTTTTTTATGCATTCCAATCACGTAAAAAGAACAAAATATGAGGGAACACTTTTTCTGTCCCATTGTCGAAAATATTTGTCACACGTGCATTTCAATTTTCATCCTTTCATTTGAAATATATAAAATATTAACATCTGTAAAATTTTAACATTTTTAAACAAATTATGAAGTTTTCTGGGTCTCCTAATCAAACTGACATCGAATAAAAGCAAAGAAAAAGTAATTTATTTTACATTTTATTCGGAATTTTTTTGTGCCATACATAAATTGTTGCAAATATTTTTAGATTATTATTTAAAAAATATCAATTTTATGTTCTAATCTTTTAATTTTGGTAACTCTTGAAAAAAAAATGTGTTGATAAAAATAAATGTTTTTTTTTTATCTTAGCATATAATTTTAAGCATTTTACGTAATAAATGTCAACACCCAAAGAAAATGTGCCGATGAACTTATATGTTTTTTTTAGATACTTTTTGCAAAGAATATTTTTTTCAATTTACTTTCTATGGCATAAATTTAAAAAAAATTAAAAGTAAAAATGAAAAATTAGTCACTTTTTATAGAGCTTTATTTATGACTGTTTTTTATAAACTATGCATTCAACTCTAACATTTTATTATGATGCTAATTCAATTTTCTATCACTTATAATATCTAAACTGTTCTCTTTTAGGTACTTCAAGTACAAATGAATGATTATAAATATTATTATCATTTCACAACATTTGTAAGTACTCTCATACATCATTACATATTTTCAAATATTAGCATTTGTTTTAATGTAAAGGCTATTGAATTATAAAATATCGAAAATTATTTCTTTTATTCCAATTTTAGGATCTAGAGACTTACAACTTGGAAGATTTCAAGTATAATTTTGTAAATATGACGGCCTTTCGAATGACTGATACCGAGGAATCATCCGTGAAGCAAGCCTTAAATGAAATGGAAAAATTTCAACCAGTTGGGCAATATATATTAAATAGGTCCAATATAATTAAGGTCGGTACCTAATGATTGATAAATATATCTTAATTATTAAATGAAAGTCTTTAAATTTGAAATATATTGATTTTGCATTAATTATTTCGCTAAGTTTTTAGGATTGTTTAGCCATGATGATAATGGGTCATAAAATTATCATTTTCTTAATTTACAGTCAAAATGAGCAAAAATCAACCATATTACCAAATTATATTGCAAAGTTCTTTACAATGGTGCCATTCTAAATGATACCCTTCAGGGTTTCACAAACCAAGTTTTAAAATGAAAACATTCCAAGAAAAAAAGGGAAGAAAAAAAGTGCAATTGATATTCCTATTTAAATATTTAAAACTTGTGTAACGCTTGGACTGAGGGGCCCTAGGGCACCTTAAACCTTACAAATTTTGAATCTCAAATGTATGTGCAAATCTAAACCGACGCATAGAAGCATAAGAAGAGATCTTTTCTTGGCGAGTTTTCGAGAAATAATACTGCCAAAAATAAAACCAACCTTGCCTTATTAATATTGAGTTCTAAATAATCAGCATTGCAAATAAATCACCAAAAAACATAAGAATTTAATATCACTCAGTAACTGAAATATTTTTTGTGGAAAAAGAAGTAAGATAAAAATAGTTTTAGATATTTGCTTGGTTGTGGTATTGGATTATAATTACTAATACACTTATTTTGCATAATAAAAGACGTTACATTTATTGTTAAAAAAAGAATAGGAATATATTTTTGCCGCTCTTTAGATATGGGATGAAAATTATTTGGTTGCTTTGTTTAATTTTAACGGGATAAAGGATGATAATAAGTAATTGTCTATTTATTAAATAAAGGAAATTTATAAGATGGGAAATATATAATGCCAATAATAACATCACACGGATTGTTTCTTTTTTCACATTATCTTTTATAATATTAAAAATATTACAGAAAATCGAGTGAAGAAACGAGTTAGTGGTGTAAATGGAGGAAAGAGCATTTATTTATCGCATTAACATCTGACAAGGGATCATTCCCTTGTATTCAGGGAACATATTTTCTAAAATAAATTAAATAAATTAGTAAACACAAATAAAAAAAAGAAGAGACTTGGAAAATAATTTTTTTTATCTAACTTCCAATAAAAAAAATTCATTTAACAACTTATTATTTGAAGATCACTTAAACCATGAAAATTTACACTTTTCATTAAATAAACAACATCCCATTTTTTGGACTTACCTCTGAAAAGAAGAATGTTATTTGACCTAATTCCACAACTTCTCACAATTAACTTCACACAATTTACTAATATAAGCTTTTTGTTACAATGTATTTAAATTGTTAGCGTTTTTAAATAATATCCTGATTCAAACATGTTTAAGAAACTACTAAAATTATTTCAATTAAATATAATTTGAGTATTGCGTTATCCTAGGTTGAACCTGCTCTCATGTTTGATTCAGTTTATGCTTTTGCTAAAGGTCTCCATTCTCTACAGCAAGGAACAGATCTACGACCAGCAAATGTTTCTTGTGAAGAAGAAATTCCTTGGACCGATGGGAGCAGTTTATTCAATTATATAAACTCGGTATAGTTTTCTTACATCTGTTTCAGGATATCGTACATAAAGAAAAGTAGTTGTTAACGCAAAATAATTTATTTAAAAATATATTTTATGAACTTTAAAATTTTTTTTAGATACTTAAACGCTCTTCATTACACAATGAAAGATTTCGAATCAAATTATGGTAAAAAATACCAACACTCAATATGCCGGTAAATATACTAAATAATATAAGTATGCTCTAATTAAATAAATATTACTGCGAATATTACGTTTTAATATTGTACAGAAAAAAGGATTTCAAGGATGATTCACCCAAATATTCTGCAACTTAATTATGTAATTTGATCGCGGTATTTTTTACAGTATAGATCAATCTAAGTCTTATAAGACCAATTAATTTAAAACTATGCTTTTAAACTTTAGACTAAGAGTGCATATTCATTCGTTACGAAAATGAAATGGACGAATTCTTACGTTGGATTATAAAATATATCCTAGATAAGCTCAGTAAAAAGCTTATAATAAACAAGTTAAGTACTGATAAAAAATAGCAAAGTATTAACTCACAACTTTGATAAAAAATAGCAAAGTATAAATTAACTCCCTTAGAGAAAATTTTCCAGCTGTATCTGTAGCATTTATACGTTAGGCAGGGACTTCTGAGAGCTAAGCATTAGTTATTTCTACACTAAAAATGATAAACAGATAGCCCCAAAACCATTTCCTCAGCAGAAAAACAACTCATCACCATGACACGAAATTGAAAACGTCACGCGGTGAGTTCTCAAATTCTTCTGGTAAAAGAAACTCAGGGGGAGAGACTACACAAACACACAAAATGCTAAAAATCACCAACTTTAAATTTGTTTCACAGGAATTCTATGAATAAACTTCACGCTTTGACTGAAAAATAAATAATTTTCGCACGTCTAAACTTGACTTTTCTTTCATCACACTTTTAAGACATAATTTAACCAATTTAGTTAAATGTTAAAAGATTATAATTAAATTAATATTAGTATTTCCTTTCTTAAAAAATAAATAATTTTAAATTAAGCAATTTCGATAATTCAAAACAAGAAAATCTAGATGATAAGAAAATCTGAAAGAAATTTCGATAATTGTTAAAAAATAAATTTCTTATTTAATTAAATATGATTATGTTAATCATGAATTTTATGAATTTAACTAAATATGATTATGAATTGTTAAAGTCCATTTTAGGCTCTGCTAGTGCTACTTTAAAACAAATTGCAAGANTGAAGATTTTGCATATATATATATATATATACATTATGAAATAATTAGTTGAAAATGTGAATGATAGATAGTCAGCAAATTCATAAGCACCAAATACATGACAAACACAATCATATCTCCCTATTCTGATAAACAATGTAGGAAATACAATGATAAAGACATGGGACATTACAATAATTTTACAAGGCAGATTATCAACGCGACTGTGTTTAATTTATAATGATTCAGCATCAAATTCTACAGTAATGGGTGTTAAATGGGATAGTTTGGAGATGGTATTAAATTGAGTACTCATATATCTCTGTGGTATTTATTGACCTTTTAAGCTATTTTATCACACTCCATTTGAAATTAACATAATAATCCTATTTTCAAAAAAATAATTTATCTTGCAATTATTATATTTGACAAAAAATTATAGCTAAAACATAAAACTATCATTCATACTTTAAATGATTGAATGATAACTATTAATTATTTATCATCCTTAAAATTTTAATTAAATATGCTGCTAACTAATTGCATTTTGTAGGTAGAATTTTTAGGTTTGACTGGCAAAGTACAATTTAAGGAAGGACGTAGAAGTAGTGTCAAATTTGATTTGCTAAAATTGAGAGAAACAAGTTTAGAAAAGGTAATTTTTTTAATTAAAATAAAATGTCCTAATATTGTAATAGCACTATTTTATTTTTCCTAAAAAGTTACAAAGTTAATGCGACAAAAATGCCCAGTACTTATAATATATTTTTTATTACATAAAATATGTAAAATTTTTAGTTTAATATTTTAAATAATTCATAATTTTTTAACTAAGCAGAATATTTTAATATTATACGCATGATTCCCACTAAACTTTGAAATTTGATTCAGTATAATATATTAAATAGCAATTTTTTTTTGTTTTCGAAATCATAACCCATCTTCCGTATTTTATAAAAAACTCTAGTTCACTTCTTTCTCTTCTTCTCTAAAAATATTAATATATATCATATTATTTCCAAGGTTTGATACAGCACTTCCACCTATATACATCCTGCAAAATTAGTGCGTATATTTTGCACTAGCTCTATAGAGAATTGAGATTATTTTTAAATAACCGCGCTGCCGCATGTGTAAATAGGGCAACGTAAAATAGCTAAATCTCGCTAATATTCACCATAACTAAACCGCACTCTATTGGAACAAAATCAAAATCAACAATTGTAAGAAAAACTAGAAATATTTTTCGGGACCGAAAAAACTGCATTATTTTATTTTCTATCTTGACAGTTTCTTCCATAGCATTGCAAGTTTGATTTATCATCATGAAGGGAAACCCAAAAAAGACTTATTAAATTTAAACTTTTATAACATGCGTCATGAGCATAACATCGTAAGTAACCATCACTTTCATGTAATGCTGAGGTGTTTGGCACAATTACAATTTTAGGAGAAAATATTACCAAGAAAGGAAACTCAAGGACAGCGCATTAGATTTAGACTGTTATATCATGTTTAATGACGTCATGATTGTAACATTGTAAGTAACCGTCACTTTGATACTATTTATTACTACTATATTATCATACTATTTGCGTTTGGCAGAGTTTCTAAAATTACATCGTGAGGATGATTTTTTTAAGAGAGAAAACTCAAGGAAACCATATTAAATTAACAATGTTATAACATGTGTACAGACGTTACGATTATTATATTGCACTTTAATTTGAGTTATTAATTTTTTAAAAGAGTTGTTAATTCATTTTATCATTATTTTTTCAAAAAATTAGTTTGTGATTCCCATTTGCCAAAAGTGTCATTCATTTTTCTTACTAGATAAGTTAGCTTTAGTGATTTAAAAAAAAAATCTTTTGAAGCCTGCGTAGCCGTTTAAATTGTTTGATAAATTTGTTAGATTTAATACAGTTTTAGGATTATTAGAAATTAAAGCAAGTAAATTTGACAATAGTTTTAAAATTGCAGTATTTTTTAACAATCAAAGAAGTTTCGGATCGTTTAAACTTTCTGAACTTTCCATAATTCCTCCAAAATAAATATTTATCTTTTGAATGAGACTAATAAAAAAATTATTTTGAAAACTAACTAAAACTGAACTAAACTTGAATTTGACTTGAACTTAANTAATCAATGAATGCTCCAGAAGCAATCACTTGAAAATCTCATTTGAGTGAGCTTAATAAGAATATTTATTTTGAATCGTATTTAAAATTTTTGTAGTGTTCCAGTTGAGAGTTTTTTTACTATACAATACTGCTGATATAATTTTAAAGCATTATTATTTTGTTAATAGCTAAAGCAATTTGTTTCAATCGTATACAATACCTGCATCACAATCACATTGAAAATGCAGTTCTTTTTTTACTTTTTAGGTTGGAGAGTGGACAACAGGAGGTCATTTAAATATAACAAATCATAAAGTATTTCATGAATTTGGAACGACAAACATTACTCTAAAGGTCACAACAATTGAGGTTAGTACTTGTATTATATTTTACAGTTGTCAAGTAATTGTAAAAGCCCTGCCCTATTAAAAACTAAATGAAGTGCAGCATGATTTCATAAAGAAAAAATATTTGTACATTGCGCAAAAAAATGGACCAATTAGAATTTTTTTTTACTTAACTCCATGCAGAAAAACAATTTTAGTAAATATCTAATGTTTTTATTATTTAATTTATTATTGGTTCAAAAAATTTTGAATGTATACAAATNAGTGCTTGTATTATATTTTACAGTTGTCAAGTAATTGTAAAAGCCCTGCCCTATTAAAAACTAAATGAAGTGCAGCATGATTTCATAAAGATAAAATATTTGTACATTGCGCAAAAAAATGGATCAATTAGAATTTTTTTTTATTTAATTCCATGCAGAAAAATAATTTTAGTAAATATCTAATGTTTTTATTATTTAATTTATTATTGGTTCAAAAAATGTTGAATGCATACAAATTTTCGAGTTATTTTAAAAAATATAATTTTACATGGCAAAATTCATATTTTGAGCAAGATCAGTCGAATAGTTCCTAAGAAATCGAATTTAAAATATCTCATTTTTTTAAATTCAATTTTTTAGGAACTATTCAATCGAATTTGCTCAAATTTTGCATTTTTCTATGTAAAATTATAGTCTTTAAAATAATGTAAAAGATTTTACACCTTACAATTCACATTTTTTCGACCATTGTTAAATAAAATAATAAAAAAAAGATAAATATTTACTAAAAATTATTTTTTGCATTGTACTATATTTGGATAAACAAATTTTATAATCGTGTTCAAAAAATTTTCAATTACCTTAATAAGTTTTTGAGATATAATGAAATACGCAAAAAGTAAAATTACCATTAAGAGGTTCAAACTTTGGAACACTTTCCTGACCAAACTATTGGGACCATGTTTCCATGATTGCGACTACCCCCTATATTTTGGGGGTCAGAAATCCAAATCCGTCAAAAAAGGTATGTTTATTCAGCGAAAGTAGGTTTTTGTGTCTGATTTCATAACTTAAAATATCGTCTGATTTTATTAATTAGCGTGTTTGAGGTGACCTCAAGCCTTCAAGATTGAGTCTCAGAACGTGAAGATCCATTCATTAGTAAAGTCATTTGTTGTTTCTTGCAACTGGGTTTCTTTATTAATTTTCGTACAATTTAGTAATTTCCTTGCAATTAGTTGATTTCTATAAATTTTTTTTAATTCCATTTTCGTAAATTGTCTTGAAAAATTTTTTTGTTTAATAATTTGCAACATTTTAAATAAAAAATTAATTGTTTTCAGTACGTACACATGACTAAAGAGAAGACTTTATTCCAAAGTAGATATTCTTTATTTAATGAAATAATACAAACAATGCAACAACAAATTTATTGATATTTTAAAATTAGAAAAATCTGCTAAATTTACTTCTTTTATACAATGTCTTTCTTCATGCATTCACTACAGGGATTCATTACGTCTAATTCCTTCTTTTTCATATTTCAGTCCACACCCTATGTAATGATGAAAAAGGATAAGAACCAAACAGGAAATGATAGATTTGAAGGATTTTGTATAGACTTACTGAAAACAATTGCTGATCTCATTGGATTCAGCTATGAGCTGTATATAGTTCCAGACAAGAAGTTTGGCGCTGAAAACACCACGACAGGTGAATGGAATGGATTAGTTAGAGAAATAATCGACAAAGTAAGTACAGTTTTCAAAAGTAACATATTTAAATTCAGGAGAAGAAAATAATCAGTTGTTTTTAAAATTGTTTTTCTGAAACATCTAGAATAATATCTCGTTTGTTCTCCATAATTAATCTTAGATGCTTGCAATATTACTACTATTTTATTGGTTTGCTTTTATGTATGTGACAGATGAATTTTGCAATTAAAATTTTATCCATTTTCTGACGAATTATAGCACTTAACTTGTACTTGATAGTACTTGATCGTATAGTATTTGAGCTTAGTGTTTGATGATAACATGTGGTTTAATCTTGTTCCGCCCGCTACAAAAAGAATTTATATTGCCAAAGAGAATTTATCACCAGAGAAAGTTTTAACCACTTTTCATTTAACTATAAGGCTTAAATTTCAATTGAAGCTTTGAGCGGAATAGGAATAATATTGCATCCTTAATACAGAGCTAATTTTATCACGGACCAAAACTTCAGCCACTTTCAGAGAAACCATCATCATGGGCGAAAATATTAACCCGGAATAAAAATTTTGAAATCTTCACTCTGAAATACATGTTTCTCCGCAACATTACGATCAATGACAGACACAAAGTTACTAATGGCCAGGAAATTACCAGTTACTAATGGCAAAAAAAAGAAAAAAAAGAAGTATATTCATGTCTGTAAAGTTATCCTAAAAGTACAATTTTGCTCGTGCATTTCTTCCCTTAAAAATATACGGTTACTACAGTAAACCAATGTTATGATCGTGAAAATTGTCTTTAGTTCTGGCCCTTACATTATTTAAGAACCAGGTGATTTTTTTTATCGAATCAAAGCAAACGAAAGACCGAGGGGGACTAGTGGCATGGTACCATCTGTTAAATGGAGATAAAGTTCCGTGTCCATTATTCATAGTCACCAGCGTAGAGGAAGTGCAAGAGAAACGTTCTTTAGCACCAACTAGACTCCAAACCCAGGAATAGAAGATTCGTGTAGCTTCGTTTTCTGTTTGAGAAGACTGGTTTTGTATAAGGGTGAAAATTCAAAATTATGTTGACATAATAAATGATGGCACTACTGCTGGCTCCAGTTCGAACACTCCTTAAATCATAGCACCGCCTCTACTATCCTGCTTCTGACCTACAATGCATGCGCTGATATTTCATTACCTATAAGACAACATGCCCTATCATGGTCGTTGGTAAACAATTTATTTTACCATTCTCTGTTTAATAACATAAGTCTATTTTAGGCAGAAAGGTTTACTAAGGTTCTTTTCAAGCTGCCAGACTGATGGACCAATTGAATTCTTTTTGATTACTAAAGAAACCCAACCATTGGGCAATCTAAAGATGGTCCAACCAATTCTTAATCAATGCAACTTAATCTAAAGATTAAGCAGTTTCTTTTCCATCACTTCTGAGCGATATCACTAGAGTAATCAATGAATGCTCCAGAATTTATAAAGACATTTTCCCCCCGGCTACGATTCATCCACATCATCAAAGCACCGCTAATTACAGTTACAAAGTAATGGACACGATGCTTTGACTTTATAATGTTCACTGGATTCGGAAACGAATGCACAGCTCATTATAATAAAGAAAAGAGGAAATTAGTGAAAAAGATTATTGATTCATGGATCTCTTCGATCTCTAGATAAAAAAAGTCTTGTAAAATATTTCAGACTCATATTTGCAATACTCAGTTTTTTTCTTTGTTTTCTTTCCAGAATGCTGATCTTGCCATGGCGCCAATGACAATTAATTATGCCAGAGAAAGTGTGATTGATTTTACGAAACCATTCATGAACTTAGGTATTGGAATTCTTTTTAAACTTCCCAAAAGTATGCCATCTCGTCTCTTCTCATTCATGAGTCCACTTGCCGTAGACATTTGGCTTTACGTTCTGGCTGCGTATGCGCTAGTTAGCTGCTGCATGTTCATCGTGGCACGTTTCAGCCCCTATGAATGGCAAAATCCTCATCCTTGTGTAAGTGACAGTGACGTCATGGAGAACCAGTTCAGTTTAGCGAACAGTTTCTGGTTCACCATCGTTACCCTGATGCACCAGGGCTGCGACCTCAACCCAAAGGCGACGTCCACGAGAATCATCGGCGCCATGTGGTGGTTTTTTACACTTATTATGATTTCGTCCTACACCGCAAACTTAGCAGCATTTCTTACAGTAGAAAGGATGATAACTCCTATAGAAAGTGTAGAAGACTTAGCAGAACAAAACAAAATTGCCTATGGTACCTTAGAAGGTGGGTCTACGATGACATTCTTTCGGGTAAGAATATTAAATAAATCTTACAATTATAACCGATAATTTTATTTTAAGAAATACGAAACAGACATTTCTTATTCGGCTTTATAAAACAATCATTATTAATTATAATTAGTTGCATTAAATTATATTAATGGGATATCTTAATAAATATATTAATTATAGTTATTATATTATTATTAATATTATTTATTAAGGTATCCGACTAATTTCGACCATGTTTATAAAGATATTACTGTAAAATTTAGAAAAAACTAATCTGTTTACTTTATTATGTGCAAAAATTCATAAAACTAGCGAAAAAAATATCATTATTCTTATTTTCATTTTATATAGCCATTTTTAGGTAAAAAATAAGGCATTTTTTTGCATATACGCTGAACACAGTAAATAAATTTCTTTCACCTAAAACAAAAAAATTCTTTGAGAATTCCTAAATGGATATCAACTATGTTTTGAATTATTATCTTAAACGAAAGTGCATATACTACTGGGAGGAAAGTGCATATACTACATAGTTAGGGATCATAGGAGTTACATAATTAAGGATCAATGTAGCTAAAAAAGCCAATTAAATTTTCCACGCTTGTCTTTAAGAAAACACCTACATACAAAAAGAAATTTACTTTTTTCTCTTCGTCTTTAGTTCAAAACATGTGTGCCATAATCCTAAAAACTCATGAAAAATTGAAGACAATTATTTAAAAAATAACATGAGATAACGTGCTTAAGGTAGGGTAAAATGTGAAAAAATCTGATTTGAGATTAACGCAATTAAAGACTTTGTCTATCCACTGTAATCACATTGCACAAAAACAACTCTAACTTTGTAAATAATTGGAGTACAAACAAAAGTAAAGTATTTTGAGGTATCTAAGAGAATAAAAATTTTAAATTTATATTAAACTCAAATTTGAAAATTTTGGTTTTTGCATGTACGTATTTTCGTACCCAAATTTCATATTTTATCATATAAAATAGACATATATTCATCAGCACTTTAATTATTTTTTAAACGAGATAAATTTATATATCTGTAGGCTAGCTATCAATATTCTTAGCACCAAATGCATTGAAATAGTTGAAATAAATGTTTTTGTATCAACTTAGTAGAATTTTTGCCTGAAATAAATCAGGCAAAAAATTAGCATATTAAAAGATGGGTGATATGACAATTTTCTTCCACGCATGACGCATGGAATTGTAATATCTTTCGAAAAATATTTCGTAATTATTTTTTACGCCTGAATTATTTTAATACCAAATGTAAATACATAAAAATATTTTTATTCAATACATTCACATGAGTAAAATAATAATTCCTAATTTTCCCTTTAGCATCGAAGCGCCAGTATACAATTATTTAGAAAAGATTTTTTTGCTTATTAAAAAAACAAACATATTATGCCTATCTTGCCCTTGAAATTATAACGAAAAGTAAGTTTTTGTTCATGGTATGACCTTTACTGAATCTTGCTCAAAAACTACAAATTGTTCTTTGCCATTTGAAATTCTTGATAATTGTTTATTGAATTATAATAATAAATGTATGTTTGAAAGTCATTCCTTAAAATGAGTTCAAAACAAGAATTCATTTCGATAAACCAAACATTCGATTAATATACTCTTCATTTGTAGAGACTAAAGAAATATTAGTTATTCAGTTAAAGTTATTAATAAAATCGTAAATGTCAAATTAAATTCAGAAGGCAATTATGGCGAACCACTTTATCTACGAAATATTGTTTCAAGCCTTGTCCTTCAGGCAGTAATCTTTGATTTTTTCAATCATAATCGTTAATCGAGCAATTATAATTACCAATATCTAGATATTCTATTCGGTTTCTTAAATAGCGGTATTTCAATAAAGAACACAAATAAACTGGCGTAAATCTATAATTTTTGTATATTATCATGACCGTATAATAGAAAAGGGTTTTTCTAAAACATAACATCAATTAAATCTTTAGATAAATGATATCTGTAAAGTTTAACAAATGTAATAAAATGTAATAATTTAATGAAAAGTAAAAAAAAAAATAATGTCTAACTCTGAAAAATAATAACGAGAAATATAAACGTTAACACCCCGGGAGAATTTAATTGCTTTAAAATATCCTTTTCTTTTATGAAAACTGTAATATTTATTATATCAAAATTTATTTTAGTAAACTATGGCGTCACAGAAAATAAAATAAAAATTAAAATTTTTTCTCTGAATTATTATTTGATTCAATAGTGAAATGCTTGTCTTGTTTCGTCTGAAAGCCTTATAAAAATATTCACACATGAAATGTTTCATTCAAATTTAATTAAATTTAGTTACGAAACTTATGTTTTTTTTATATCTAAGACTTCCAAATATGTGATTTTTCATGTCTCGTACTTCAATTTTCCTTCCTTTTTTTTATAAAGTAACGTCTGGAGAAACATTGACATTTTATGTTGTAACAGCTTTATCTTTTGAGCAGAGAAAGGTAAATCATTGCTTTCTTTCTCTATGAAGACAGAATTGTTGAAAGATTTTTAATGAATATTTACTGCTTAAGAACCAAGTCTAATTTGCTATCATTAAAAATCTAGAAGGAAAAATAGGATTTACTGGATATAAGTTTTTAGTCAAATTAGCATAAAAATTTTTATCCGGTTGTAATTTATCCTTATTAAAGAAAAAATAATTCACTGAGAAAAAATGTATGGTTAAAACTACCAGAATATTGTAAAATTTACCGTGTTTCTGGCTGTATGGGAAAACAGAAACGTTTGGTAGGATTTTGGTATACTTTTACATAAAAATATATGGTTCCGAAATATGGTATGAAAAGAAAATCTGCTAAATGTGCTAAAATCGGGTAATTTTATCATGATAAATCATAGCATGAAATAAAAACCATTTATTTGGTTGTATTTTCCCTTTAGTTTTGTATTTTTTTAATAAATGTGTTGTAATCAGGACTATAATTTTGAAAACCAGAATTTCCAGTAAACCGTATCCATATGAATGGAAAAATTACCAATTAAATGGTTTAAATTCTCTATATTTTGATTTTTAATACCAGAACCATGTTGTTTTTTTTTAACCACAAATGTCATCACAATGCAGTACGATAAGTTTACTGGAATATTTTTCTCCATGTTATGCATTTAAAACACCCACTACGATTTGATTTTGTATATAAATAATTAGTGATAAAAGATCTTTATTCTATTACTGTTCTATTATTTTTATATAGATTATACATGCGTTTTATTAAAAAATTTAATAAATGAGCAATCTTGTTAAACCGGAAACTAATCTTAGAAAGAAATATGAAATAATTCTTATAAAACAAAAATTATTCTAATAGTATGTATGTTTAAATGAAAGATGACAACTTTTCATAAGTATTAAATATGTATTTGAACGTTAACATCCACATACTGTTATACAGTCCATGCATTTGAAAAATTGTTGTTATTCTCTAGATTTTTTTTATTCATATTAACATACACTGTATAAGTCTTTTCTTTAAAAAAAACGAGTTGTCGTCTTTGTGTTGTGTTTTCAAATTTAAAGTAAAAAGGCGCAAAGGGTTTTTAATTTCCAGTTTTTACTGTACTTTAAAATGACCAAGAAATATGCTTTTGCTTCACTATGATGTGATCTTATGATTGCAATAACACAAACTGAAAATTTTGTTGGTTTTCATAGAGTGCAACACAGGTACGATCAAACACAGCGTTCTATGTATTTTGCATTTTGTAAAGTGATATTTGCTGTTTGCTTCGAATTCATCACATAACCAAGCTTCACAGACCTAAATCAAAAACGAGTATTCAAACCAGCAGAAATATTCTCTTGATCCAGTAATTAGGAAAGAATAGTATTATAATCGTGTGAAAACCATGAAATTATAGAACCATTTGGAATCATTGATTCGGTTACGTTAAAGGCTATAGAAGAATAATCTTAAGTCAAAAATTGGAAAACATGCAAATTTATATATTGCTTAGAATCAGTATAGTTACCTTTTTGTACTTAAATTTTAAGTTTTTCAGGATTTTAATTAAAATAGAATAAAACTGAAAATAGTTAAAAACAAATTTAAATGCTTATTACCAATTGGAAAGTATAGTCTATATGCTATTCCTTTTTTTTAATGATTTTAAATGACTTTCACAGTTGATTATCATATTTTACTGAGCTGGTTTTGGAAAGTTGGAAATTAAATTACACTTCACTTTTGTAGTTAGCTATGTTTAAGTTATAAGGTAAACTCAAAATGGATGCTAAAGCTTACATGAAGGTTGTGGGCATTCGTCAGATATCAGTATTAGGCTAAGCATTTAATAGAATTTATTGCTCTCAACTAATTATCTCTATTTTCAACAACTTAACTGGCTTATAAATTTGTACAAATTTTTAAGTAAAGTGGTTTATTATAATATGCTAAATATTCATTGTAATCACTCTTCTTTAAATTTTAGAAATATTATAATCTGTACGTACTTAGAAATTGATACTTTTACTTTTTTCCTCAGCAGCCGAAATACTTCTTATCAACATTTTTCCTTTCCTATTGATTGTTTTAAATTTTATCACTGTTATTTAATGCTTAATTTCTTCTTGAGAACGTTTTACTTTATTACTTTTTTAAATAAATTTTACTGCAATTTCCCTCACATTACTAAGTCTCATGCTTGCGTGGAAATCTGAACCACAGAGTAATATTATTTGTTATTTTCAGATACTGTAATTATTTTATATATTATACATCACGGATTTTTACTATAATTATTTTATATATTATATAGATTATTATGTATAATATTTATTAATTTCAAATAGTGTATAGATAAATTATAGATATAGTTAATTGTTATTTATTTCTAATAACGTTTGTGTTTTAAAGGATTCAAAAATTGAAACATACCAAAAAATGTGGAGGTTTATGGAAAATCGCCCCTCAGTTTTTGTAAGTTCTTATGAAGAAGGCGTAAAACGTGTTTTGGAAGGAAATTATGCATTTTTAATGGAATCAACTATTTTGGACTATAGTGTACAAAGAGACTGTAATCTCACTCAAGTTGGAGGATTATTAGATTCCAAGGGATACGGGATTGCCACTCCTATGGGTGAGTATAATTAATTACATAATTAATTAAATTGTTGCAACGTTAATAATCACAAGATTCCGATAGAAAAAAAGCTTAAAAAATTTCTTGATTGATTATCAACGCGATCAATAATATCCACTTATGAGTATAAATTTCAACTAGCAACTTTTGCTAAAAGTATATACAAGGCGTTTCCCGGAGAATGGAAGCAACGAAACTAGCATATGACATGAAGAGGGGCGCATTTGTCCCTGTAGGGCTTATAGATATATATATATAT